AAAAAAAAAAAAAAAGAAATGAAGAAGAAATGCAGAAGTCCAGTGCCTGGGAAGTGCTTGCATGGGGACAGTGTTCAGGAGGGGCTCACCAGAAGCCTCGAGAAGGCTGGGGGGCACAGGGGCTTCTGACTGGGGCTTGCCCATCCCTGCCTCATCAGGAAGGCCTGGTCTCCATTCCCAGGCCTCAGAGAGACATCTCTCAACTTCACGTTGGACGTAGATGTGGAGAAGAAGAGGAAAAGGCTGCAGTGTTCAGACATGAAAGCCTGCCTGAGCTCCCTCCGGGAGTGGAGCAGTGGGTCCCATCTCTGTGAGCACCTCCTGCTCGTGCGCACAGAGGGAGAGGTGAGTGGAGGGTTTAGATGGGAGTCCAGAGGGGTCTGTGTCATTGAGAAAAGATGTGAAGTGTGTGCAATGGAAGATGCTTACCCATAGGTACAAATGAGGTGATTAACATAATCATAGTCAATCAAGAACCACGTAAAGGAGCTGGAGATGCACTAATTGCTGACATTTTTCTTAATAAATTAGGAATAACAAGTGTCCCTCCTCTATGTTATCCACCCTCACCTGAGAATAACACTGGGGCTGAGGGCCCTCATATAAGTTGACATTAGAAAAATTAAACAACTAAAAGGTAGAAATAGAAAGATAAAAGTGATCTAGAAAGGTTTACTCCTGGCCAAGGTGCCCAGAGACATGGAAAAACAAATGTATTTGTCAGGACTCAGAGCCTAATGGGACCTAGAACTTTGGACCTAAAAGTATCATCTGTTCCAATAAATAAACTTGAGAATCATGCTTCTGTCTATGTATCTGCTCCCAAGGTGATTGTTAATTGGATTAAGAGTTTCTGGCAAGTCTATGGCCTTCCTTAAATAAAAGCGTAACAGCATGTCATTGTCCACCAGAGAGTCACGCTCACTTACTCTCTTGTTGTGGCAGACAGGCTCATTTAAACAAAAAGAATGGCAAATGGCATCCTCAGCCATCTCCTTATTCCAGTCTTCACCTGTCTAGTATGTCTTCCATGCTGCTTTGGGGAAGATATTTCTCAAGGAAAGATGTGACCATGACTCTTCCTCTTCTGATAAAGTCTGGGCCAGTTCTTAACCCCTGATGGCCAGAACCCCTTTGGGATTTGGGTTAGAACCATAGGAGCTATGGGACCTAACGCCATAGCAAATCAAGGGAGAATTTCCCAAAGCTCTTGGCAGCTCACTTGAAGGAAGTTTGCCTTCTGTCTGGCTTACCTGGAAGATGTTTAGAACTTCTGACTCTTCACTTTCATTATTTAATTCTTATATGGCTACATCAGAGTTTAAAATAGCCTCCTTGTCATCTTGTCTCCCATATCCAACTGTGGTGACCATGTAGCTCTGTGAGGAGGACTGCTTCTCTAACATCAGCATCAAGATCAGCTACCAACTCCAGACCCCCACGGGAAGGAGGGACCATCCCCGCCCCATCTTGGACAAGTACACTGAGCCCTCTGCCATCTTCCAGGTGACTCTGCCCACAGCTACCATTCCACCCTCCTGGGGGCCATCCACAAAAAGCGCCTGCTCTACTAGCTTCAAAGAATGCTAGAGTGGAGGGAGGGTCTTCAGACAGCAGTTGGGCCTCTCACTGCGGGAATGGGGAAACTTGGTCCTCCTTGAGAGGGTGTTAATTTGGGCTTCACTGGTAGGTAACAGAGCTCTCCAACCACCCTCCCTGGGCTTGTTTCTTTATGTTCATAAAAAGCTCTTGCTACATATTTAATGAAGCACATGAATGTACTGCATGCTGGGGCCTCACCTTGCAAGCTGGGGCCTCACCTTGCAAGGGTCTCTGATGACAGAGAGGTGGGGGTCCCTTGTGGGGGCTGGACTGGGGCCGTCCTGCCTTGTGCTGTGCAGAGAGGATACCCTTTGGCGCACTTGCTTACGCAGGCCCTGCCCAGGGCCTTCAGGCTCAATGTCTGGTCCCACCAAATCTGTACTGCAACCTCTCCTCCAGGTCCCATCAGTGCAGCTAAGACAGGGAGTAGTGTCACAAGAAACTCTTCTCATGAATAAGGAAAATCAGAGGAGGAAATAGTCAAATTTCCTGATCCAGAGGCCCAGGTGTGGTGGCTAATAGCTGTAATCTCAGCACTCCGGGAGGCCAAGGTCGGAGGATCATTTGAGGCCTGGAGTTCAAGACATTGTGGAGGGTGCCTATAGTCCCAGCTACTCGGAAGGCTGAAACAGGAGGATCACTTGAACCCAGGAGTTTGAGGTTGCTGTGAACTAGGCTTATGCCATGGCTCTCTAGCCTGGGGCGACAGAATGAGGTTCTGTCTCAAAAAACAAATTTTTATTTTTCATTATCCTATGATATTTCTTCCCACTCTAAGCCCTGGCCCTCAGGGTATTTTGTGAATCTTCATTTAAAGAGTATAGAAAAATCAGCAGGAAGAAAGAAATGACAACATTAGCATTAAAAAATAATAATTACAGTCAGCTAGGATGAATTGAGTCTCCAAAAAAAAAAAAAAAAGCTAAAAGTAGTTCATGCAGGCACAGAAAAGCTTCAGATTACAAAGTGTGTTTCCAGGTAATCACAGGACACTCATGACCGTCCAGTACTTTTACAAAATATGTTCTGTATTAACTAAATCATATAAAACTTTACCTCCAATTTTAACAATACCCAGAGTATCAGTTCCAAATAGTCAATAGAAAAAGGAAACCCCTCCCATGAGCAAAGATAGTCATCATCATTTTTTAGGTAGAGAGGCTTTATTTTAAATTTATAATACTGTATTTATTTATTTATTATTATTATTATT